CAGAGAGGAGGGTCACCGCAGAGAGGAGGGTCACCACAGAGATGGTCCGTCTGAACAACATCTGCAGCCCATAGTCAGTCACCGTGTTTTGGTTTCGGTACCTTATTGAATGAATGGGGAACAATGTGTGTGAGTATTGAGTGATCCTCTAATGTGTTGTGTTCTAATCGGTTTTGCAGATTCTCTGGATAAAAATGGACGAGGAGGAGTTTTGCTCAGATGGTGTGGCTGAGGAAGAGGACGAGGAAGAAGAGGCTCAGTCGTGTCTCAACGACAGAAAACACCTCGTCACACGTGTGATGATGCAGCAGCAGAGGAGACACCATCACACAATCGGAGGACGGGCCAGCTCAAGTCACAGAGGTTATGACTCAGCTGAAGACTCAGCACCTTCCTCCTCACACACAAACAACGTCACACCGATCAGGGGAAGTTAAGAGTTTTTTTTTAAAAAAGCCTTGACTTGCACACTTCTCAGTTTAAAAGCAACAGAACTCATATCGTGAGCTTGATCCTCCTGCTGGAGGTCAAACTGCAGCCAGGGACCAAACCCGGCAGGACGTGTGATCATATTCTACAATAGCAAAGTTTGTGTTCAAACTAAATAGATCAATAATAGTTCATGATGCAGATCAGACATAGATAAAAAGAGAGGATTTAACCAGTGAAAGAGAAGTGGGCAGGTATCACACATGACTCTTCACTCAGGCCCCTGAAGCAGGTCAGGGAGATAAAACTAAAACGAGTTTTATCATTTTGAATCTGCACAAAACCCACGTCTGTCTAAATGAAGATGTAAGATGTAAGAGTGCACATATGTTTAAAGTTGATTGGATGATTATTTAAAATGAAAATATGAACCACCTCTAAAGTTAGAAATCACAGGTTGTCACTGGAGGTCTGGGTTTGAAACGATAAGATCTGTGATTTAAATGTGATCATGTAACGTGGGGCAGATGCTCCGGGCTCCGGGGGCTCAGGGGGCTTGTCTCCTCCCAGCTCTGCCTCCTGTCCTCGGTGTTTATGATCCGAGGCTGCGCGCTGAGCGGCTCTATTGTCTGAGCGGCGGCAGCGGCAGCGGCGGAGCGGAGCGGCATCACTGTGACCCCGATCCCCGGGAGGAGGCCACCGCTGCTCGGGGAGCCCCGGAGCGGACACACGCGCCGAGGACGGTGACGTTTTCGTTTCGTTATTCGGGTTTGAATCTCGCCGTGGCTCAGAGACGGACCGTGTTTCTGCGGCGGTCGCACCGAGCAACAGTTGTCACGATGTCTGAGATCAGATGAGGCCGGAGCTGCGGAGCGATCACTGCGGCGCTGTCGAGCTCCGGGCTGCCGCGTCCCGCCTGCGATGATCCCGCCGTGTGTTTAACCGTCCGGGGGACGGAGAAGGGAGCCTGGTGAAGCCCGCGTCCGCCCGTCACTGCTCCGCCGTTCGATCGGCCACACGCCCGCACACGCACCGGCCGAGGCGAGGTTTTGTCTGCGGGTGAATCCGGACGTCGGCGGGGGCTCATGCTTCGCTCCGCGGGGGAACGGGCTGTTGCGTCTGCGGAGAGTTGACGAGCCTGCGGAGGACCCGCGGACAGACAGACAGCCAGGAGGCCGAGAGACAGACAGGGAGCGAGGGGAGGGGGCCACAGCCTGGTTCGGCTCTCTCGACCCGCAGCGGATCGAGCCGAGCCCCCTCCTGTTTCCACCCAGAGCCGCCACCCAGTCGCCCCCCGCTTTGGATGGGGGGAAAGCAGAGCACGGCGGGGCGGCCCCGGGGCGCTTTCCCCGGTGTCTCCACGGATGACAGCGCGGTGCCACCCTCGGCCCACTTCGGCCACTACCGGCCGAGCGGCACGATGGGCCTGCGGAGCCGCTCGGTGAGCTCCGTCGCCGGGATGGGCATCGATCACAGCCCCGCCGTGCCATTCGGCTTCTACACCCCGAGAGGGACGGACTCGGATCGGGCCGGAGGGGGGTCAGGGGGCACGACAGCCGCCCCCCACCACGGTACCGGGTACCAGGACTCTGGGGGAGGAGGGCACCACACGGACGGGGTGCTCTATCTGGGGTCCCGGGGGTCGCTGGCTGACACCTTACCCCTGCACATCGCACCCCGCTGGTTCAGCGCGCACAGCGGTAAGAACACACACACACACATGCACACACACACACACACATGCAAACATACATGCACACAAACACACACCTGCACACAGACTAACCCATACATGCACACGCCCTTCAGGATGATTTTGTTGACACTGGAGGATTAATCGTCACAGGAAACCACACACACACACACTCTCTCACACACTCACGCACACACTCACGCACACACTCACGCACGCACACCTTGTTTACCTGCAGGTGAGAGAGACACCAATGCAGTGCCATTAAATTTCACTGCTGTAAAGGGACGTGCAGCTCAGGCCTGAGGATGCACAGAGAGAAAACTCTGCTCCAGGTTTAAAATCCACGCTGACATGTATGAGTGTGAACCCCCCCCCCCCCTGCAGTGACTGAGGAGTGTCACACCGAGACACGGAGGGGCCTCGGGCAGATGTCAGCTCTCCCACGTTTAACACTTGACATTTTTTTTCTGCAGGTAAATGTCTGAAATTGAAAATATTGACTCCCACAGCTTCAGCTCAAAGACAGAAAGGTGCTTTTAAAAACATCCATTTGGTCAAACGCTCCCCTGACAGTGCTATTAATAGGTCATTTCATCAACCCAGAGAAGTGTTGTTGCTCTGCGTGGGGGAGAGAGAGAGGGGGGTGGGGGGGGGCTGTTGGATTTGGTGAACATAACGTCGCAGGGTGTTGCTTCGTCTTGACTGTGGTCGCCGCCGCTGCACCGTCTGCATAGGTCAACCCTTGTTGTGTGAAATGACAGTAATAAGCCTGTTGCCAAATCTGGGTCTGAGTCAATTAGCCCTGCGATTAGTGAGGGAGAGAGGGAGGGAGAGAGAGAGAGAGACGGAGGAAGGTGAGGCACGGTGGGGGAGAAGGGTTTCGAGGTTTGTCTGTGACGGATGATGACGATTCTGTGGCTGAACCGATAAGATATGATGCACTTTGCTGTCGCTGCAGGGAAACTGTGGACGCGTTCACGTCGACACATATGTAGACACGCACGTAAACAAATCCTTCGCCACATGGCCACAGCTGGTTCCCTTCCAACCGCGTCCACAGAAACACGCACAGACACTCGGCAACAAAGTCCTTGAGGAAGATTAGACTCACTCCTCTCTCTCTCACACACACTCTCACAGATGCACAGCAGACTCAGCCAGGTCCCCAGGCTCTCATTACTAAAGCCCTGACCGGCTCACAGCAGGAGAATAGCAAGTTGGATATCAACATCTCGGCTGTTTTTCTCTTGCCTACATTGCCTAGCGACTCTGATGTGCGTTCATATCAGTGGGAGGAGATAACAGGGCTGGGTCGGGGGAAGTGGGGGCGTCTGCAGAGGAAAGCTGAGGAAGGTGCACACGTCAGAAACAGAGGCTAAAGATTCGGGCCTTGAGGAAACAGTCACAGTACAGGAAACGCCACGATGTCCATCATCTGTACAAACAGTGTGAATGTGCAGAATCGGTCTAGATTTCGGGGACGGAAGCTTCTGGTTTTTCGTTTCTCGTTCGAACAGGCTTTGGTGGCTCGCTGGTGAACAGTCCGCGTGGAACACACCGACCGAAAAGCATCAAAAGAAACTAGTCGGACTTTAAACACGGAGAACAGAAGATGGAGTCCAGGTCTGGATATCTGCCGTCGACACTGGACGCCTCTAAGTATTGGCCTCTGCCCCCAGAGGTAAATTTGTTGTCGGATGATAGACGATGCGCTCAGAGATAAAACCGTCCAAGACTAAATCCTCTCCCACAGTGATTATCATAAGGGTGTGGTCAGCGAAAAAAAGGGGGAGGCCGGTGGCGGCCATGTTTCAGAGGTCAAAGCAACAATAACGTTGTTGGATTGCAGGAAAAAAATAAATAAAGACGAGAAACGTGTTTAAATGTTCGAACCCACAGCGATGAATGTGTTCTGGGGGCCGCCGGTGAGACGCGGCGCACGCCTCGGCCTCGGGCGAGATCACATAAAATAGATTGACAGCCCGTCAAGTGGAATTGCAGGAGCAGACGGCGAGGACCTGACAGTCTGAGCGGAGGAAAGGGCAGGGCCGACAACAGCTGCAATCTGTTAAATCCGTTTTTCCTCTCGGTGACGGGATACGTGTGCAGACGAGGGTGATACGCAGATACAGCGAGATGCAGCCTCAGGTATCTGATGAGGGTCGCTCTCTCCGACATGTCACAGCTTTAATGCTTCAGGAAAAGATCGCAGTGGATTGTGGGCACTTTAATTTGTCAAGATATGACGCAGAGATCTGGACCTTTCTGATCTGGTGATGGCGCTCTTCTAGTTTGTTTGTTTCTTAGCAGAATTACGCCAAATTTGGGTGGAACTCCCATGATCCCACGCTGCTTCACGACGTCATCTAGCTAGGTCTTTTGTTATTGTCTTGATTGAGAGACTCCCGGTGGCTGGAGTTGCATTTCGGACGTTTAAATTTAATCAAGCCGCACCAGCAACATCTCTCTCTCCTGAGAAATCCACGAAAATGAAAAAAGAAAATCCTGGATCAAACCGTCTTCATCTTGCTGACGGACAGAAACAAACCTCCTCAATAATGTAGGAGATCCGACAACTTCCTCGTTTCTACAAGAACCGTAACCTGAGTTGAGTTGTTGGGTCTTGGTGGAAGTTTTTTTCTGGTGGTGAACGAGATTTTGCTGGAAACTGTGTTCAAGCACAACAATGGCACTGAGTCAAAAAAAAAAAAGTCCCCATTGATATGTGTGAGAGCACTGCTTTAGCTCAGCGGGGTGCCGCTGCATGAAAGCACAGACAGTCTGTCAAGTTCATCCTGGTTTAAGCTGCAGCGAAGAGCTTTGTCATCTGGGAATTCAGTCTGTCCACGTTCGGTCTCACGCGCCTCTCCGAGCAAACTGTGTATATTCTACTGTCCCTCTCCCGAGGCGTTCTCCCGATCAGCCTGAGATGAGAGCAGGTCAAAGAGAAAATGTGTCATGAAGATTCTCTCTGAAACAAGTCTGCTGATTGAAGAACGAGACATTCTGACTGTTTCATTGAGTTTAAGGGAGAATCAGGGAGAGTTAGAGCTCAGTATGATGTTTTACCTCTGAAAGACAAATTCATTAAAGTAACTCAAGTGAGGGGGGTCACGTGTTGCTGAACTGCTTTGTGGTAGTTTTGCCTGGGTCTGCTTTTCAGGTGGACACCCGCCAATCAGATCACGTTAATATAGTCTGGAGACACACGTGCACACGTCACGGCAGCCTCTCGTATCCTGTTTGGTGCATCGGTTGTGTGTGAACTCAGAAATTAACGCTACGATCATAAACACTATCACATATCATCTGTGTCCCCATCACTTTATCTGCGGACATCTCAAAAGAAGCTGTAGGTCGAACTCCTCCTTTTATTTATCAGGAAGTTTTATTCGCTCTGAGTTTTCCTCAATGCTGCGTCTTAATGTGTGTCGTCACGTTCAACCAATCAGGAAGAATTGTAGAGGAGCAACTCTTCACACCTCTGAACTCTTATTATAAGCGATGGTCATCATCCGAGCAAATCTCTGTTGGGGAATAAAACTGGTACAATAACAATCGTGTGGAGAGAACGTGAGACCAAGAGAAAACCGACCCCAGAGAGCGCACACACACAACACAGCCCACACATCTCGACACGTAAAACAAAATCTTGGATTTGCCCGTTTATCTGGTTCCTTCCCAGAATTCAGTGGATTCTTCCTCAGGTCACCGCCCCTCCACAAAATCTCATGGAAATCGGTTCGGTTCGGTTTTTTGGAAACCTGCAAACAAACAAACACGCTGATGAAAACAAGAGCTTCATGGTGAGGACTAATATTCATGTAGTTACACACACACACACACACACACACACACACACACACACACACACACACACACACACACTTCATTCTCAGTTCCTTCACACACTGAAACACCTTCTGGATGTGGATGTATATTAATCAGACAAACTACAGGTGCCTCTCCCACTGTTTGCCCTTTTCAAACCAAAGACCAATGGTGATGCAGAAGTGTGTGTGTGTGTATGTGTGTG